AGTAGTGACAGATGGCAGGACAAGGAGCAATGGTCTCAAGTTGTGGTGGGAGAGATCCAGGTTGGATCTTAGGAAAAACTATTTCAGTAGGAGGGTGGTGAAGCACTGGAATGGGTTACCTAGGGAAACAGTGGAGTCTCCATCCCTAGAGGTGTTTAAGTCTTGGCTTGACAAAACCCTGGCTGGGTTGATTTAGTTGGGATTGGTCCTGCCTAGAGCAGGGGGCTGGACTTGGTGACCTTCTGAGGTCTCTTCCAGCTCTATGGTTCTATGGTTCTATGATCTGAGACACGCGAACATTTGCAATAGAAGCCAAGCCCAACTATTGGTAATCACGTGATCAGTGTCAATGGATGCCAGTTGAGATGCTGGAGACACACAAATTTTTGCAAGAGAAAAACTGAATTCAGCTGCGACACCCCCTTCCCCCCCAAGTTGCTCACGACCCACAGTATGAGAAACGCAGGATTAGTCAATAAGGGTGCTTCTGCCTTTGAAGTGTAGCAACAGCCCAAGGCAGAGCTCTAGCGTTTTTAAATAGTTTCTGCAACAAGTCCAGTGTCAGTCATTCAGTTGCTGCAGGGAGCATTCAGAATTATGCTGTTTGCCTGACAAAAAATAAGCATTGGACAGATCTTTCCCCATCTGGGACTGATTATTATTGTTATTTTTTGTATTATTATTATTATTTTATTTTTTTTGTTAACTTTAACCAGTGATTGTTTACCTGGTAGATCCTGTGTATTGAATAATGTGCAAAAATTGTTTTCTCTAGCTATGAGAAGCACAAAGACTGAAAATATTAATAATTATTCTTGCATATTTTCCCTGTGAGAAGTTACTTAATAGAGGAGGTAGTTGTAGCCAGGAATAATAATTCTCAATCATCTGTACTAATTAAACAAATAAGCCACCTAATAGCGCTGTGCCTCAGTTTCCCTATCTGTAAATAGGAATAATGATTATTTTCCTGGTATCTGTGGTGAAAATTAACACTTTAATGGCAAAAGCACTGATTGTATAGCACCTTTCCTCTGAAAATTATAAACTATAATGTGAATGAGTGTATATATTCCCACTTTACACAGGGGGAAATGGAGGCACAGTACAGTAATTCCTCATTTAACACGTGCCCACTTAATACGTTTTCGTGATAGCATGATTTTTTTTTTTTAGGGAACGTTTTCTGAATTACACGACCGTCCCAGGAATAACAAGATTTCCCCAGGTGGCCTGTTGCTGGTGGCTGCGTGTGGCTTCCTCCGCCTCCCTGCAAAGCAGCGGAGGGTTTGCCGCTCGCCGCGCCGTTCCTTGCTCACTCCCCCTCGCCAGACTCAGTGTGGGTCCTGTTACACCTTGGTTCGGTGATGTGATGTGAGCCTCAAGGGTTAAAGCCGACTATCCAGTGAAAACTACTGGATGATGGTGAAACAAATGATTTTTATTAAGTGGTCAAAACCAGCAATTAACAAGTAGGTGTTTGAACTAGCAATTGCTTAGTACTTTTACAGCGTAGAAAAGCTTGGGCACAATTATACCCAACTGATTACAATTCTTTGATTACAATTCACTTATATCAAATCACTATCCCTAATTCGCCTAAGACAACGTAGCATACAAATAAAAAATACAAAAAACAAAGCCAAAATAATGATAATAAAAGAACCGTCCAAAGCCAGCCCCTCTATGGTTATTTTAGGACAGCTGGTGGAGTTAGTTATAAATCTACTTTTACAACTTAACAACTCCGGGGTTTCTATTTCTAACGCTTATACTTAGCCTAAATACAACACTACTATACAACACAAAATTATACAATTTACACAGCGTGGTTAACAGAACTTAGATACACTTTACAGAATTACACAGTGAAATTAACACAATTTGACTATTAATTAAACCAATAACTAATACATTTAAAGCAATACTTACAAATCCAGAAACGATAACAACACAAAGACACACTAGAACTCGGAGCATGCTCAGGACTCGTGCACCCCTATATTTGATTCGAAGGGTGGGGAGGCAGCCTCAGGGTGATCAATCCTTTAGCCAGGCAAAAAAAAGACACATGCCCTCAATACACGGAACCTCCGTCGAACAAAGGGATTGAGGGTCTTTTATACAAAACTTCGGTGTCTGTTGCCATGCTAGGGTCTGCATTTGGCATGGCCTGATAGGCTAGTGATGAGGTAGTATGACAATACTGCCCTATAGAAATTTTCGTGATGTATGCGTGATCCCCTCGTGGACAGGACCAGATGGGGCATAGTTAGTGTTAGACAATTATGTTTTATTACCCTATGTTTACTTTTTCCCTTGCCCCTAAGACTGGTCAAGCTACGGTCAAATGAGGCTTATCTGTAAGCACTATCTAGTCATGCTCACCTCCCTATTTTTTTTGGCGCCTGTGAGTCCCAGAATGCCTATAAGATCAAATTCCATTCACAAAACTGCATTGTGCTGCCCATGCTCCTCTGAGTATCTGGGTTTTGTGTGAGGGGCCTTGTGTGGCAGGATGGGCTATACGCGAAGGCCGTGGACAGAAAAAGCCTGCTTTACAACAGGTCCCAGCAGACCCGTCACAGGGGCATACTCTGAACCGAATCCCCCTCCCCTCCCCTTCCCCAGAGCCAAACACCTCCCCTCCCTGCTGTAACCCAGTCCCCTTTTTCCCCCAACCTTATGTCCCAGTCCTAACAGACACCACCGCTTGAAACGCAACCCCCACCTTTTCCATTATTTTCAATGGGAAAATTGACCCCACATAGCACGTTTTCACTTAACACAATCATTTTCTGAAACATATCTGTAGTGTTAAATGAGGAATTACTGTATTTGCAATTATGCCGTTATCATTCAGCTAGTCAGAGACAAACAAGCTCAGGATAGAACTCTGGTATTCCAATTCCTAGTCTATGCTGTAACCATCTGACCATGCTGCCTGCATGTTGAAGTTCTAAAACAGTGTATTAAAGAGCACACTTGAGGCAAAGTATGGATCACTGTGGCTGACACGCTATGATGTTCTTTAATTATCTGCCGTATTGCTATGATCTTGAGGCCATATAGAGCCCCATTAATTGTCGGTAGCTGCTCTACATATCCCAAATAGCCTACAGTGGACATATCTCTAATTAATCCCAGGGAGAAACACTCATCTGTGTTAGCAAACTAGGTCTTTGGCTTCCAAAGTGCCTGCTGTACTACAAAGCCACAAGCCATTGAGTAAAATCTACACCACTTGCATATCAGTTTTATCACAGTGAAGAGTAGCAAATACTTTCACTCTCCCCTCAAGAAAAAATGACTTACTTTGTAATGAGATTTATAGTAGTTCTTAATCTAATGTTAGAAATGCTGTAGTTTAAATGCTTTAAAAAATCAGATCAGTGTTATGTGAGTACTTGCCTGAATTACGTACTGCAGGGACCAGTTCTGTGGTCGAGTGGAGAGCTGCACTTGTTGGTCTCCCTTAGGAGACTGCCATTTATGATACAGAGTTAAAAATGTGATTAAAGCTAATGTTGAAATGTACATAATACACAGGTTGAGAAAAGAGTGTCTGTGTGTCTGGGTATAGTGCTTAGATTATCCACAAATATGTTTGTTTTAAAAGTCATAGGATACACATAGTACACACAGTAATCAGCAAGAACCCAAATGTAGGTGAATACATTTAACAGTACAGGTTAGTTATTAGCATCCAATTATTAGGGTATATTATTCATGAAAAGTTACAGAGAGTTGGTTGTGGAAGCAGACATATCAGTGAATGAAGCTGACCCTCCGTAATTGAGAATTTCAGGTAGGTTGTCCATTAGAAAATACAGTCCATCAGGAAAGTATTTGAGTTGCTTTCCTGAATGCACTTGTCATCGGCACTCCAGCTCATCCCTCCTTGTATTGCCGATGTCCAGTGATGTGTCCTAGGTAGATGTCCCCTGACCACCTGATGGCATCTGACACCATAAGTTTCTGCATCGGCCAAGCGTAGCACTGACCAATTCTCCATTCTCCCAACACTTGCTCATTACTGGGAAACCATGCACCACGGGCTCCAACGATCAATGCTTGTGTTTGAACCTCATAGCCCCTCGCTCTCAAGCAGGGATATAACAGGATAACTGTTTATACAGTTAATCGATAAGCCAGGGCTTATTGGTTGCCGTGAATGATTACATGCAGACCCCCCCCCCCACACACACAAACTCTCCTAGGGAGCAGGCTGCACCTGGCGTTGCTGGCTCTGACACAGCAGGGGACAGTTGACTAGATCTCATGGATGAACGTCCATTGAGCAAATCAGGTGAAGCAGCCTCACCTGGAGAGGAAGTGGTTGCTGGGGGTCCCACTTGTCTGTCACCTCAGAGGCCTTGCCCTGGTTCTGTTTCCATTTGTTTTCCATGTGCTGGCAGCAGGTGGCATCCTCCAGGGTCCTCTCTAGCATGGTCTGGCTCTGAGTGAAGATGGTGTGCTCTGTGTTCTTCACCAGTAGCGTTGGACTCCCAGCTCCTGGTGTTCTTCACACTGTGTACTGGGGCAGCTAACGTGCTTCTCCAGTCATCACGTAACGTTGCGGGCACGAGTTCAGAATGAAACAGTCTCCCCCCTCTTCCAAATTCAGCGTCCAGGAAGCCCCTCAGTTAGGTGGCGACATCTTGGTTGGAGGGGGTCCTTGTCATTCATTTCTTGACAACATCCTGCCTCACATTTTCTCTGTGTTCCTCACCATAGCCTCTGGGCACGTCGGAAGGCGAGTGACCACTGCAGCGTCACATAGATCCCCCTGTATGACGGACGTTAGCATTGTCCTGCCAGTGCAAGATTTCCTATGCAGGCCCTCTATGAAGAAACCTCCATCTCTTCACTAGCTGCCTAATCGTCTCATCTGCCTTGTTAAGAGGCACCTTCGCCACGCAGGCCTCTGCTCAGGATGAATGAGATACAGGCATCAGGAATGGGGTTTTCTTAGCTTTCTGAGAGGCCTTTTCTTGAACTCAGTTCCCTTGAGCAGAATAATCCCTTTCCATGGAAGGAGGATCAAGCCTTTCCACTGACTTAAATGGGGCAGGAGCTTGGGACTCGTGTTTTGTGGGACAGTCTAATGCTGTCATGCTCCATAGTGCTGCCTGCCTAGGAACAGAGGGCTCTGTGCTTCCGAAAATCTGTGTCCAGTGTGTGTTTACCGCAGAGCCTCCCTGGGGTTCTTCCATCTGTGTTCACACGGAGATTAATAACAAATTGCTTGGCTTCTAACCTGCAGCAAGCTAGCTTGGAAGCCTGCCCACAGTCCTCTTCCTTACCACCTGCTGTGGATTATTCTGTTCATGCCTGCTCTTGTGCTCCCATGCAATCTACACTGATGGCGACACGTGCATGGAAATTACCGTGTTCCACCCGCAGTTTGAGATGTCTGAGGAGTGGTGTTCTCAGTAGGTGTCTGGTGGGGGTCCGCCCAGGGGAAATGACCTCTTTTTCTCAAAGCAGGACTGCCAAAGCATCCGGCACCAGGTGCCAGCTTTGCAGAAGCGTGAGGGCTGCGTCTGCTCTGTGCAGCTTTTAAAAGGAATGAGATCCACCCTCCGGTGCGCTCTGCTCGTGTCTGCGTTGTACGGATCCTTTTTCAAATGGGTAAAAACTGGTGGTTGCTAGCATTGAGAAATGTCCCCCTCCTCCCCCCCCCCCTGAGAAAAATCCCCCCCCCCCCCCCCCCCCCCCACACGCATTCCCAGCGAAGAGTAACAGGCTTGGGCTCCAACTCGTTAGTTTCACCCATGGCCATGAAGTGCCACCGCATCTGAGTTGACCGCTGAACTGGAGGGTAGCACTGTGCTGTACTCTGGGCATTTTCCTCCTAAAGTGTTACTTTTCTGGAAGCGAGAGAGGGTGTCATTGCTTCCCTGGCAGGCTGAGCATGCCCGAGGGTTGGCAAAACACCGGCCAGATGTATGGTGGGGAGACAGCTGATTTGTGGTGAAGGGTGATCTCTCTGTGTGTGTGTGTGTGTGTGTGTGTGTGTGTGTGTGTGTGTGTGTGATTTGTGGTGAAGGGTGATGTGTGTGTGTGTGTGTGTGTGTGTGTGTGTGTGTGTGTGTAGGTCAGAATAGATGCCTGTGATCAGCTGATCTGATCTCTTGTATAGCCTAGGACTTCCTGAACTAATTCCTGTTTGGTCTAGAGCAAGACTTTTAGAAGAACCTCCAATCTTGATTTAAAATTTTCCTGTGATGCAGACTGTAGGTAATTTTGGTAAGTTTTTCCAGTAGTTAGTTGCCCTGGTAAAAATGTGCATCTTATTCCTAATCTGAATGTGTCCATTTTATTATAATTTGGCTAGATTGCAGAGCACACTATCAAATTTCTGTTCCCTGTGTAGGATCAAATCACCTTTAATTCTTCCATGTGATAAGCTAAATAGACCTCAGGAGCCCAATCTATCAGTATAATACACATTTTCCAATTCTTTAATCACTCTTGTGGCTCTGTGAGCGAGAAGCATAAAAAACCCTTTCGTTCATGTATTACAAATAAGAAAATAACCAAAAGGAAAAAAACCCCTATCATCCCAACCCAAATCCCCCAAACTTGTGCCTTGTATTTATGGGAGGGGCATTTTAGACCACACAGCTGAATCTAAAAATGTTCACCTTTTTTCCAGCATTTGTTTGAGCAAAGCTATGTCTCCACACTTAAAGGACTGTAAATTATGACAATGTCTTTAATTCCCTGTTCATAGTCTGCTTCATCCATTTGGTGGGATTTTAATTTCTCAGTCAGGCAAGATCTTCTAATCCTTTCAGTGTTCAAACTAGATGTGTATTGCTCCACTTCAGTGTCTGTGCCAGCGCTAGCTCTCAATCCGTCTCTTCATTTCCTAGCCTCAGTCTAGTCTGCGAATCACATGCGCCTTATGGAGGCAGGATGTATGAATGGAGCATCCATAAGGATTCAGGCCACACTAGGGATGTAAATGGTTAACCAATCAGACACTGGTAGAGGCTGGAGCAGCTCCCCAGCCAATCTGGGCAGGGGGCTGCTCCAGCCCCATAGGGCCCATCATAGGCTGGGGCGCTGCTCTGGCTGGGTGGCCAGAGCAGCCCCTGTCCATGGTGGGCTCCCCCCCTACAGGTTACACACTGGCTCCCCAAGAGCAGGGCTGGGGGTGGGGGGAGAGCTAGCTGCACAGCCCACAGCGAAGCCTCCCCGGAGCAGGGTTGCCGGGCTGGTGGCCCCACTCGCGGGAAAGCTTTGATGTGGGCTCTGCAGTATAAAGCTTATTTAAGTTTTATACTGTACTGCAAAGCCACAGCACGTGTATCCATGTACCTGCTAGGGTTTGTAGCGATTACATGGCTACATTTGTAAACAATTTTTTGTATCCCTAGTCCACACTGCTCACATGCTGAGGGCCTGTTCCTGTGTCCTTTACTCAGGCAAAACCCCTATCAAAGTCAGTGGCATTTCATAGTATAAGTAGTGGCTTTGCTTGAGTAAAGAATTGGACCTGAGTTTCTGATGTGGATTGGTAGTAAAACCTTTTCTACGCAACCAAAATACTTCACTATACTTTTTTTTCATGACATGTTGATTTCCCCTTTCCGCCATCAACATAACTCACAATTTTAAAAAATCCTACATTCGTTACTACCAGAAATGCAAATTATCAAATTGGAGGGATTTTAGAAATCAGATTAACTTGTCACCACGTATCACATCTTTTATTTACTATTTGCTTTAAGCTGGTTTTGCACAATAAATCTACATCTTAGATTAAGGAAATTTGCACCATATTTTCACTGCTGCAGTTTTCCAGACTAGATCCTAAATTAGCTAATTTAATGTGGCTCCATTGAGGGGAGGGATAGCTCTGTGGTTTGAGTATTGGCCTGCTAAACTTTGGCTTGTGAGCTCAATCCTTGAGGGGGCCATATGTATTTATATTATAACATGTTTATTGTCAGTTTCACATTTTAGTTTCACCACCAGTGCTGCTGTTTGTTTTTGCTGGCATTCTAAAGGAACCTTAAAATCTCCCAACAAACCCTGCTTATTTACTGTATTCCTACTAACCACCCACTCCAAACCTTTTGTTTCCTTTATATTTCAGCCCAGCGTGTGTTTTAATACTGGTATCGGTGTAACTCAGTGGTCCCCAACCTTTCGGGGCTGCTGGATGGCCGGGTCTGGCGCCGAGCATGTGTCGTGTGCCCAGGGCTGGCGCCATGCATGTGCCGTGCGCCTGGGGCAGAGGCCACCCATGTGCCTGGGGCTGGCGCTGCGCATGTATGTCTGGAGAACATGACCTATGAAAGAAGGCTGAAAGAATTGGGTTTGTTTAGTTTAGAAAAGAGAAGATTGAGGGGACATGATAGCAGTTTTCAGGTATCTAAAAGGGTGTCATAAGGAGGAGGGAGAAAACTTGTTCATCTTGGCCTCTGACGATAGAACAAGAAGCAATGGGCTTCAACTGCAGCAAGGGAGGTTTAGGTTGGACATTAGGAAAAAGTTCCTAACTGTCAGGGTAGTCAAACACTGAAATAAATTGCCCAGGGAGGTTGTGGAATCCCCATCTCTGGAGATATTTAAGAGTAGGTTAGATAAATGTCTATCAGGGATGGTCTAGACAGTATTTGGTCCTGCCATGAGGGCAGGGGACTGGACTCGATGACCTCTCAAGGTTCCTTCCAATCCTAGTATTCTATGATTCTATGTGCCACGTGCCCAGGGGCGGGGCTGGCCCAGATCATTCCGCGGTCACAAATAAATGCCCTGGCGGGCACTATGGCACCCACAGGCACCGCGTTGGGGACCACTGGTGTAACTAAATCAATTTAAAGTCAATAAATGTAGATTCATGTCAGTTTAAACTTCTCTTAAACCAATTTTGCTTAACATAGTAAAGCTATGTCTACACAGCTGTGTTATTTCGGAATAACGTAGTGTGTGTCTACACAGCAAGTCTGTTATTTTGACATAAATTCGCAATAACGGGCTTCTTACTCCAACTCCTGGAACCCTCTTATTGTCTGAGGAGTAAGGGAAGTCGGGGGAAGAGTGGTCTATCTCGAAATAACTGCTTTGTAGACCGCTCCAAAAGTCAAAATGAGCTATTTTGACTTAAGCTACGCGATTCGTATAGCTCAAGTTGTGTAGCTTATTTCGAGTTTAGTCCTGCTGTGTAGACATTCCCTAAGTGAGTTAGAAGAGCCTCTTGAAAAATCTGCAGGAAACCTCTTATACGTGGGGTTAAAGGTGATGCTCTGTTGGTTGCTTATTTGCTCTCTCTCTCTCTCTCTCTCCCTCTCTCTCATTTCAGGTTGGAAATGGAGGATGTGCGTTGGATGCAGTGACTAGGATACTTTCACAAGCCAGAGCATCCCTGCTAATCATTGCCTGCTGAATAGCTCAGAGGTGCAGGAGCGGGTAGATCTTTTAACACCTTCTCAGAGATGCCTGACGAGATGCGTCAGAGTAGCAGTGGGATGGAGGAAGCCACACAGAAAGAAACAAAGGGTGGAACACACAGCCCTCGCCAAGGCTCCCTGCGGAGAGCCGTGGCTACGGTAGTGGCCTTTGATGGAGAAGCCACTATGGACAGAAGGAAAAAGAAAAAGAAGGAGTCCCGTCCAGAGTCGATTATAGTTTATCGGTCAGAGAATGAAAATAAGGTGGAGGAGCAGCAGGCGGATGAGGAAGGTGGGGAGAGAAGGTCACAAGAAGGCTCCAAGTTCCTGGGAAATTCCATGGCAGATGGTACGTATCACCAGAAACTGCAGCTGGCACCCGGATTTCACTAGCCATTGAACCACTGACCAGTAAAATACATTGATCAGTGGGGGGAAAAGGGACTTCAGCTCTTGCCTGTATTTTTTTTTTATTATTTTAAGTTTGGGGGTAAAGCTTCTGGAGGTCTCTCCTCCTCCTCCTCCTCTCCCTTGGGTCTCCCCCTCCCTTGCTCTGACCCTTTCTGGGACTTGAGGGCTCAAGTAACGTTCATGAGGCTAGATGCTGTGAGTTATTGTTTGGCCTTCCCTAGCTTTGCTTTTTTGAAAATTCAGCATTTTCAATTTACAAATCTAGGTTTGTGTGTTTGGTTTTAAATTGAATCAGGATGGGTGGTTTGGGAGCACAAGAGGAGACGTTTAGGGTCATCTTTCCAGCTCCACTACTGACTTTTGGTATGACTTTGGGCAACTCACTTCAACTTCTGTTCCTCAGTTTCCCCTGTCTCCAATACCGAAGAGGAGTTTGTGAGGCTGCAAGACATTCATGTTTGAAAGTGTGTTGAGATCCCAGATAAAAGGCAACCAGGAGTTATTTTTCGGCCAGTTTCTTATTTGTTGGAATATGCTTCCCGTTGGTTCCCCTCTTTTTTATATTTTTTTAAACATAGCCGCTAATTTAGAGCCTGATGCAGAGATATGTTGCAATCCCATTGCTTCAGCGTGGACAGATCGCTCCCATCTGCCTTTTCATAAGTGGGAGCCGTCTGTCCCTTCTGAACCCACTACCCTTCTTCTTCTCTGCTGGCTTCCTGTTCACTTCATGAGCTGCTTTGGGCTGCCCGGACTTGTTTGAAAAACTCTCTGTGGACTTGTTGCAGCCAAAGTAACAGACCTGGGGCCAAATTCAGAGCTGATGTGTAAGGGAGTAGAATTGGGACCCCTGTAACTAATGTGTAAGGGGCTCTGAGTTGGTGTAACTTAGAAGGAGTAAGTACAGAGCCTGCTTTAACTCACAATCTTATATTAGTTGCTTTTCTTGCTGCTGTACATTGTATCCCATGTTATGAAGATTATGCCAAGTTAAACTTTCCCTCCCCCACCTCTGAATTTGGCCCCCAGCACATATGGTAGTTGGTGTAACACAAATGTTCAAGGAGTCAGAAGACAGAGTAAGTTGCACCATTTTAGAATCTCCTCTCAATCTGGCCCCCTGCCTCTTTCCCCTATCATCTCCCCTTTCTTCCTATAGCAGCTGCCTCTCATCTTTCCTTTTGCACCACCTCCCACGTGAGCCTTCTCCACTCCTCAGCCAGCATCCATGTAGATCTGCACCGTTTTTCCCTCTGTGATCTCCTGCCTGCATCCTTCACTTCTCATACCCTGCCTTTTTAAAGTTATTACTATTATTTTAACTCTAACTGTATTGTCTTAATTCTAAGTCTTTACAATGTGCATGAAACATGCTTTAAAACAAATAGGTTGAATGTTGATGACCTTTATCTCCCTTTGAAGGTGTCTGGAGCATGCCCTTAGACAGCCGATATGTTACTTTAACCGGAACTATCACCAGGGGGAAGAAGAAGGGTCAGATGGTGGACATCCATGTTACGCTAACAGACAAAGAGCTGCAGGAGCTAGCAAAGTCAAAGGAGCCTCCAAAAGAGGAGACAACGGAAGGGAAAAAGACTTGTGATATTGGATTGGAAAGGGGCCCGCACGTCCTGCTCTGGAGCATCATCTGCCTTCCTGTCATCTTTGTCATGTCCTTTGTGGTTTCCTTTTACTACGGGACCATCACTTGGTACAACATCTTCTTGGTGTACAATGAAGAGAGGACCTTCTGGCACAAGATCACCTTTTGTCCCTTGCTGATTATCTTCTACCCAATCATAATCATGGTCATGGCTTTCTTCCTAGGCTTGTATACGGCAGTTACCCAGATCACGTGGTCCTTCAGCAGCTGGTGGCATGCCGTGAGAGATATGGAGAAAGGGTTCTGTGGCTGGTTGTGTAGCAAGCTGGGCCTAGAAGACTGTTCTCCGTACAGTATTGTTGAGCTGCTAGATTCTGACAATATCTCAGGTAGTCTCTCTGGCAAAGGCTCGGCACAGGGCGTTGAGACTTCAGCAGTGTGAGGTTTTGTCCCATCTGGCTCTGACGTTGTGGTTCGCGTGGCTCATGAATGGTTCACCAAACTAGCCTGACTTTTTTTATATTTGAGCGCACACGAAAAGAATAAAAGCTTTGGGAGTTGTGGAGGGAAATGTTAAATATGCACAGTGCACCAATGTGCCAGATGAGAGTCTGGCATTTGTTGTCAAGTGAGCATGCATGGTTATGTCACAGGGCTGCTCAGTTGATCTGTTTAATATTTGGTTTTAGCATCCCACAACTGTGTAATTGTGAGATGATCCAAGTGTGGTAAGGTTGGAAGTTGTATAGGGGTGTTGGGGTGAGCAGGGAAATAGAGCAAACGCAGTTTTAACTTGAAGGTGGAAAGGATGGAACATATGATGCATATAGATCTAGCTAAGGGAGTCTGCTATCTGGTTAATCCCTATACCCAACATTTGCTGAATTTCAGAAATTCAGTGCTCGTGGTGCTAGAGGGCAGATTGCAGAATGCATGAGGTTACTAAAGTTGTCTTAGAAACTGGCCCATTGGTTCGCTAGTTCACACGAATGCAACAAACCTTGCAAGTAGTCTGGCTGCTGCAGATGAGAACGTACAGCGGTTTCCAAAGCACCCTCTACTGAATATCTATTGATGTGCAAGCAAAAACTCAGGGTGTGCTAAAAACTTCCTCCTTTCTTAATCCTAATTATATAGCAGTGAAGGAAACCAACGTCTCTGCTGGACAAGAGCCAGTAGTCTGTACTTGTGAAAGCTGTCTGTGTTTGAGTGGAGCAGTAGCATGTGGATTCAGAGCTGCACAGATGATGTGGATGAAGGGAAAGACTTTTTACATGGATATAAGGCAACAGAATGGTCTGTCTTGCTGTCCTTATAGTGCAGTGACTCTGTCCCTTGAGAATGGAAGATCCTGAGCCTAATGCAAAATCCATTTGTGTGTCAGCTCTGGAAATCCCACCCCATTTCTTGATTCTATACAATTAATTGTAATGAGCGATGATGGACTTTTGACCTTCATTTTAAGTCAATCCCCCTCTGGCTGTATTTCATTGTCACGGCTGTTTTCCCTCTTTTGGAGACATTCATGGCATCATCACATCCGAAAGGAACGTTTTTAGGGTATTTAAAGACGGGCACAGAAATGCCTTTCTGATCCCTAACTTGACTGCCTGGTTTGGAATGGGAAGGACCCCCTAAGATAGTTGAATTACAAGCGTCCAAAAATAGTTTCATTCTGTAAATAGTCTGCGTACACCTACCTCTACAGCAGTGGTTTCCAACCTTTTTTTCATTTCCAGGCCCCCTAAAATGTTTTGAATGGAGGTGTGTACCCCTTTGGAAATCTTAGACATAGTCTGTGATGGACCCATGGCCCATAGGTTGAAAACCACTGCTCTCCAGCAAAGGTGATGCCCGTGAATGGCCTGGAGCATGAGCCCTCTACTTCCACATCCCCAACATGTGGACATTAAGGGCAGGGACAGAGCAATCTTTCCCTTCTCTGCCTCGGTCATTGCCTGGAAGGGTCCACCTGTCTCATGCATGGAGATCGGTGATTCATAGTATGGGTGCCATCTATTCAGAGAAGGGAGCCTTCGTGGGTATGTGGAGTAAGGATGTTAAGTATCCGGTAATTGACTAATCGAATAGTTGATGCATTTTTGCAACAAAGTGTAGCAACAGCCCTAGGGCGAAAGCGACGAACCATTTTAGAATCTCCTCTCAATCTGGCCCCCTGCCTCTTTCCCCTATCATCTCCCCTTTCTTCCTATAGCAGCTGCCTCTCATCTTTCCTTTTGCACCACCTCCCACGTGAGCCTTCTCCACTCCTCAGCCAGCATCCATGTAGATCTGCACCGTTTTTCCCTCTGTGATCTCCTGCCTGCATCCTTCACTTCTCATACCCTGCCTTTTTAAAGTTATTACTATTATTTTAACTCTAACTGTATTGTCTTAATTCTAAGTCTTTACAATGTGCATGAAACATGCTTTAAAACAAATAGGTTGAATGTTGATGACCTTTATCTCCCTTTGAAGGTGTCTGGAGCATGCCCTTAGACAGCCGATATGTTACTTTAACCGGAACTATCACCAGGGGGAAGAAGAAGGGTCAGATGGTGGACATCCATGTTACGCTAACAGACAAAGAGCTGCAGGAGCTAGCAAAGTCAAAGGAGCCTCCAAAAGAGGAGACAACGGAAGGGAAAAAGACTTGTGATATTGGATTGGAAAGGGGCCCGCACGTCCTGCTCTGGAGCATCATCTGCCTTCCTGTCATCTTTGTCATGTCCTTTGTGGTTTCCTTTTACTACGGGACCATCACTTGGTACAACATCTTCTTGGTGTACAATGAAGAGAGGACCTTCTGGCACAAGATCACCTTTTGTCCCTTGCTGATTATCTTCTACCCAATCATAATCATGGTCATGGCTTTCTTCCTAGGCTTGTATACGGCAGTTACCCAGATCACGTGGTCCTTCAGCAGCTGGTGGCATGCCGTGAGAGATATGGAGAAAGGGTTCTGTGGCTGGTTGTGTAGCAAGCTGGGCCTAGAAGACTGTTCTCCGTACAGTATTGTTGAGCTGCTAGATTCTGACAATATCTCAGGTAGTCTCTCTGGCAAAGGCTCGGCACAGGGCGTTGAGACTTCAGCAGTGTGAGGTTTTGTCCCATCTGGCTCTGACGTTGTGGTTCGCGTGGCTCATGAATGGTTCACCAAACTAGCCTGACTTTTTTTATATTTGAGCGCACACGAAAAGAATAAAAGCTTTGGGAGTTGTGGAGGGAAATGTTAAATATGCACAGTGCACCAATGTGCCAGATGAGAGTCTGGCATTTGTTGTCAAGTGAGCATGCATGGTTATGTCACAGGGCTGCTCAGTTGATCTGTTTAATATTTGGTTTTAGCATCCCACAACTGTGTAATTGTGAGATGATCCAAGTGTGGTAAGGTTGGAAGTTGTATAGGGGTGTTGGGGTGAGCAGGGAAATAGAGCAAACGCAGTTTTAACTTGAAGGTGGAAAGGATGGAACATATGATGCATATAGATCTAGCTAAGGGAGTCTGCTATCTGGTTAATCCCTATACCCAACATTTGCTGAATTTCAGAAATTCAGTGCTCGTGGTGCTAGAGGGCAGATTGCAGAATGCATGAGGTTACTAAAGTTGTCTTAGAAACTGGCCCATTGGTTCGCTAGTTCACACGAATGCAACAAACCTTGCAAGTAGTCTGGCTGCTGCAGATGAGAACGTACAGCGGTTTCCAAAGCACCCTCTACTGAATATCTATTGATGTGCAAGCAAAAACTCAGGGTGTGCTAAAAACTTCCTCCTTTCTTAATCCTAATTATATAGCAGTGAAGGAAACCAACGTCTCTGCTGGACAAGAGCCAGTAGTCTGTACTTGTGAAAGCTGTCTGTGTTTGAGTGGAGCAGTAGCATGTGGATTCAGAGCTGCACAGATGATGTGGATGAAGGGAAAGACTTTTTACATGGATATAAGGCAACAGAATGGTCTGTCTTGCTGTCCTTATAGTGCAGTGACTCTGTCCCTTGAGAATGGAAGATCCTGAGCCTAATGCAAAATCCATTTGTGTGTCAGCTCTGGAAATCCCACCCCATTTCTTGATTCTATACAATTAATTGTAATGAGCGATGATGGACTTTTGACCTTCATTTTAAGTCAATCCCCCTCTGGCTGTATTTCATTGTCACGGCTGTTTTCCCTCTTTTGGAGACATTCATGGCATCATCACATCCGAAAGGAACGTTTTTAGGGTATTTAAAGACGGGCACAGAAATGCCTTTCTGATCCCTAACTTGACTGCCTGGTTTGGAATGGGAAGGACCCCCTAAGATAGTTGAATTACAAGCGTCCAAAAATAGTTTCATTCTGTAAATAGTCTGCGTACACCTACCTCTACAGCAGTGGTTTCCAACCTTTTTTTCATTTCCAGGCCCCCTAAAATGTTTTGAATGGAGGTGTGTACCCCTTTGGAAATCTTAGACATAGTCTGTGATGGACCCATGGCCCATAGGTTGAAAACCACTGCTCTCCAGCAAAGGTGATGCCCGTGAATGGCCTGGAGCATGAGCCCTCTACTTCCACATCCCCAACATGTGGACATTAAGGGCAGGGACAGAGCAATCTTTCCCTTCTCTGCCTCGGTCATTGCCTGGAAGGGTCCACCTGTCTCATGCATGGAGATCGGTGATTCATAGTATGGGTGCCATCTATTCAGAGAAGGGAGCCTTCGTGGGTATGTGGAGTAAGGATGTTAAGTATCCGGTAATTGACTAATCGAATAGTTGATGCATTTTTGCAACAAAGTGTAGCAACAGCCCTAGGGCGAAAGCGACGAAGCCCGGGGTCAGTTGAGGACTCCCCCGCTGACCCTGGACTCCGTGTGGTGCTGCCGCTTTGAAATGTTGCGGGGAGCCCAGGGTCAGCTGGGGAGTCCCCAGGTGACCCCAGGCTCCAAGCGGTGCTGCCGCTTCGAAATGCCGCAAGGAGCCTGATCTTTGCTGTTGCTATCTGATAGAGGCAGCAGCACCGAGTCCCCAGCTGATCCTGGGCTCCTTGCGGCACTGCTGCTTTGAAGTACCCACCTCTTCTTCCCCTCCCCCCCCACTTGCTGCCTCTATCCGATAGAGGTAGCAGAGGGGGGAGCGACTAGTCAGCTATCCTGTTGACTCTCCCATAAGCATTTGCTCATCAGATAATGGACTAGTCCTTCACATCCCTAATGTGGGGCGGGGGCGGGTCTAGGTTGGATATTAGAAAATACTATTTCCCCAGGAGGGTGGGGAAGCGCTGGGCTGGGTTCCCTAGGGAGGGGGGCGGAGTCTCCATCCCTAGAGGTTTCTAAGTCCCAGCTTGACAAAGCCCTGGCTGGGATGATTGAGTTGGGGCTAGTCCTGCTTTGGGCAGGGAGTTAGACTCAGTGACCTCCTGAGGTCTCTGCCAGCCCTAGCTATGTGCACTTTCCCTTCCACTTACTCCCCTACCAGAGAGGTTACCTGCTTCCGTCTTGGGACTGCGGAATGCTTGTTTCTCTCACGCTGGGTTTCGCTGGGACACTGACCGTCCTTGATGGGGACTTGGCTTGTTTAAAACTGCGTATGTATCCTTGACCTCTTCCTTCTGCAGCTCGCTTCTAGGCACTGGCCACTGGCTGGGGAGGGTGCACAAAGCAGCCTGCGTTAGGGACAGCTGCATTTCCACATCTGTGCTGGCTCCAGCCTCGCTCTTCTGAATCTGGTGCCTGAAGAAATAAACAAATGACAGCAACATTGGCTGGTGAAACGGCTAAACCAAATGTGTGCCAAAGAGATAGGGAACAAAATCCCCAGGCCCAGGAGATTAAACCTAACCACAGGCAAAGTTCTCGGCTTCCGTGAATAGCATTGTACAGGAAGGAGACTCTCCTTGTCTCTGTTCACATCTGACTAATCTCAGTAGAATTTTACTCCTCCTTGACACTGATCCCTTTTTCATTAGAGGGGGACTGGGCCCTAGTAAAACCCCTGCTTACGTCTGTAGGTGTGACGAGGAGTGGGAGTTTGACATGTAGTTGTGTCTGACAGGGTAATGGGAAATGAAGAGAGTGCAGTTGGCCCCTTGGACTTTATTCAGAGCAATTGGTGCACATCTAAACTGCAGGGCGCACCACCTGGGAAGCCACTAAACTTCTGCCAGTTAGATTTCTGAATTCCTCGTGCCACTGTCTTTTAAATCCCCGTGTAATGTTCTGCTCTGAAATGAAGGTTCCTCAGCTTGTACAGAGCAGGTATAATTATGGTAGAAGAGGCAGAAATTCTGGATCAAAGACATTTGGACCATCTCTGGACTGAAGCACTGGGTGTCCCAATCTGTTATTCTTTGGCTTTCTCCCTTCAGCCAAGGATCTCAAAGCGCTCTGAGAACTTCTGTGAATCCCGGCACCACCATGGCCAGGTGCTGTACTGGTTTATAGGAGGGAACTGTGTGGGGTTCGTAGAAGATGAAACACTTTCGAGAGATCACCCAACACTTCACTGGTCTAGCCATGAATGGAACACGCGAGTCCTGATTCCCAGTATCCCAGATACTGGCCCACGTTTGCACTTGTCTAATAACCCAGTCTCATGTTCATTAGCTGCTTCGTCAAAACAGCAGTTCATCTCTGGTAGGACACAAACCTTTGAGACAACAGGAAATATCTGCCTTACAGAGGCAGACAAGAAAATCACAAATCTGTGCTGCCTGGGGACCAGTTCAAGCAATTGCACTGCCTCCTAGAAAGCTGTTCTGGAGTTGTTCTCCTGGGGGCCTGACCTGCTGCTTTTCCTTGTCATCTGACGTCAGTAATAAGACGTGCAAGAGGTATGTGCCTGGGCCTTGGCAGTCTATTTCAGATGGCCGAGGGCACTGATCCATTCTGAAATTCCCCACTTAGGAACAGCAGGGGTACAGAAGTTTTGAGTGAAGGAAGCTCTTACGTTGTACAAAGCTGGGAGAGGGTTAGCCAGGAGAACTCTTCCTTATGGGATGCTGCAAGCCTTTTGGTCTTCCTTACAAGGAACAGCAGGCAGAATCAGAAGACTGCTGTGTTTACTTTGGACCTGATGCATCTCGTTCGCAGTGGATGCTGGGCAGAAGGAAAGCAGGCAGGCGGCCACAGCAGGTGGAGAGGGAAGAGAAGAGCAGGCCAGT